GAATGCTCAGCTGTGTGTAACCTCATACTTTTACAACACAACGGACTTGTCGTGATCATGGAGTTTCATTAAACAGTCCACTTGTTTTGCAAGGCGGTTTTCTTTTCAAACCATAGAACAATTAACTGCAGATTGGTGTGGGGTTTTTACTACCCATTTTTCAAGCAAAAAGCCCATGTAGAAGCAGCATTTTGCAGGGTATTGTTGTCTGGTGTCTTATATGTAGGCAGACTTAGGATATTACCTATTGCCAGGTGGGAGATCTGTTTTGGAAGCTGGACTTCACTCCCCAGGGAATGTAGGGAATTCTGACACTGAAGAGACAGAAGGCATCTGCCTTTTATTGGTGCCTCAGGCTCTGGTGCCATGAGGAAGCACATCTGCAGGGGCTGATCTACATCTCTTCCTCAGTGTGGGCAAGAACCACTAATGCAGCATACTGTGTGCAGACTTGCAGGATCAGGGCTTGGCAAAGGACACCTGGTCAGAGTGGGCAATGGACATGAACAGTCACTGCCATTGGGTGACAACATTGGTGAAAATGAAGAAAAAAATTGGGAGGAAAAGGGTGATGTTCCTTGGATTCCATCCTCACTGCTTTTCCAGGGATCAGAAGTGTTAGCAGCACAGAAGGAGTTACCAAAACTCCTACAGAGTTCAGGTGTGTGCCATATGCCCTGAGTAGGAGCCCTTGTACAGCAGGTCCCAGTCAGTGCATCCCTTCCAAATGAGAATGGATTTTGACACCTGGCTAGAACAGAACCTGCCAAGTGTGAAAGTGGCTTGTGCCAGGGTACTAGTGCACAGCATGTCAGAGTAGTGAGGCAAAGGCATCCCTTTCTCAAAGAAGGTGACACTGCCCCATGTCACTGCAGAAAAAGAAACATCAATATGAAGCATTGACGGATGTTTCATCTGGATTTATTGTAGTCAAAAGAGCTCAGTGACACCCATGCAAATATTACCGAAAGGAGACATTGTATGTGATTACGCATCTTGTATGCTGAATTAGAACAAGTAGGAAATCAGAAGTGAGCTACTGAAGTGCTGTCTCCTACGAGATTTCCCACGTCATTGTACTTCACTGTGATGGCAAAGCATGTGTAGGAAGGGGAGCAATTCCACAGTGCAGAGATCTGGAGCAGATGTTAGCCCATGTGTTAGCCCACACGTGCAACTGGATAACACATCTTTGAGGGGTCGTTCTTCTGTACCACATCATAGTCACATCTTTCTTCATTGAAAACGACTTCACAGTTCTCTTTGTCGTACTGAACCGGAGTAAAAAATCTGTCATTGGCAAGAAGAAGGCAAATGTTAGCTTGACAGCAATAGAAGTTTCAATACTTCATTGATTATGGCTTGAACTATTGCTGAGTGAGACATCTCTGAAACTATGGCTTAGACCAGCTGAGCTCCCTTGAGTGCAACACAGCTGCAGCTTCCAGGGCCTCAAATGATGCCTTGCTGCACTGCACTGTGGACATGTACCAGGATGCTCAGCACTAGCATGGGGATTTCTAGCACTGCACTCTGCAGTCTGACATAAGCATGAGCTTGGCATGTTTTCTCTTTTTTCCATTAAGTTTCCATTATTTCCAATTTGCTTAGAAGGGGGTAGCTGTTTCCTGATAGACCGATTGTCACCTAAACAAAGGCAAAGATCGTTATCAAGCCATTTTGGCCCTTTGAGAAGGCAGGATGAGAGGAAAGGAGAATGTTGGAGAGAGACTTCAAAGCAGAGCCTTGTCATTCTAGGGTCAGCATTTTCACTGGAGACAAGCACCTCCGGAAAGGGATTAGGATCATCATAAGTCCTTTAGAGGAATTTTGCTGAAGTCGTTTGTGGAAGTAATTCTTTCCTACCTTCCCTTTCCCAGCTAAGGAAAGATTTAACTGCAGTGGCAGAGGGGTTCACAAGTTCCTAGAAAATTCAAGGCAAGCACCACCTGAAAGTGGTGCTCAGAAAGTGAGCCAAGGCAAACACAGCTAAGGATCCAAATGGTCAACAGCTCTAAGTGGCTTTCACTTGCTCTGTGACATGAGGGACAAAAGGCTCTCTTGTTTCCTTATTCCCAGCAAATGGAAAGCTTTGGTTGTCCTATGGGCAGTTGATGGTACCAAGAAGTTCAAACTTACTTTGCACAGCAAGTCATTACAGTTCGGCTGCAGTCGCAGCTCAGGCAATCTTCTGTCCTCTCAATGTGTCCAAGGGGGTACAGTTTTCCATTCCACACACAGCCTGCATAAGACAGCAGCAAAATAGAACATGTTCTTTAAGCCTCCACCTAAAGGCTGAAAAGTTTAAAACTTATTTCAAGTTTTCTGAAAATATTTTCTTAGCAGTGGTAAATTAGAAGTAATTTTGTTCTCTTGGTTTTTACTTTCTCAACTCCTGCATCGACTCCAGGTGCTGCAATAGCAATAGCAACCTACCACCAGTAGCAATAATATTGCTGCAGCCACACTCAGTCCAGGGTGAGACTTTGTTTCACCCCTACTTTTGGCAACTTCATGCTGGAACTCCCAACTCATGTCTTTCTGACGTCTTCCCCCAGGCTACTACAGAGCAGTCAAGGGAGATGATCTTGTTTGCTCTTACCTCTGTAGACCTTTCCTGGCCTTTGGGGCATTATACTGCACGCTGCATCACCCATGGCCACGATGATGCCCATTGCAACAAGGAAAGCCAGAAAGCTTTTCTGTAAAAGAAGCACAGAGCCCATGGTATGGCTTTAATTCCACATTGATTATCTGTTTTCAAAAGCTGTCACTGAACCTGAACCAAAATTACAAATAACCTTCTATGTACATGAAAGTAGTGGAAAAGGACACTCCAGATATTTCACTGCATTGATGACTTTTTCCTTTATTTGGGAAGATACAAAACTCTTCAACTGTGCTATTCTGTGGTACCTGGCCACAGGAAAGTGTCTAAGCAGCTCCTATTCCATGAAGCTGTAGGATGAAACATTGCAGCTGGTCTCTGTTGAGGCTCCCTGTGCATTTGGCATGAATCTGTGGGGCTCTCTGTGCTGTGCAGCTGCCCCGGGCTTTGGGAGGGCAGGGAATTGTGGCTTTCCACACAGGATCTATCTGAACATGCTTGGGATGCTGTTTGCTGTACATTAGACATCCAGCTGGAGTTTGGGGGTGGCTTTGCTCCACACTGGTTCAGCAGTTTGCAACAGCACATACAGTGCCACGGCATGTCTCTCATGTCTTTGTTGAAAATACTAAAATGCTTCTTTTGCTGTGCTGTCTTCTGTGAATGTTTTATCCCTTGTTTGTTCCAACGTTTGTCCTTGTCATGCTATTCCTAGAAATGCCGGTCAGATGAGCTCAGGCATGCTCCTCTCTCTAAAGATGAACGTTTTGCAACTTCCACTGAATCTGTAAAGAGATATAGGGGGGAAGTCTGTGCTGTTCAGTCATTGTCTGAACTGACTTTGCGCTGCAACCAAAGGATATGTCAGATAAGCAACAGCAAGTTAGCAGTAAAGCTTAAGCAGAGAAAGAAGGAGATGATCATTTCTTCCCTATTCATGAATCAGCACGTCTCATAGAAAGTACTGCTTCTTCTGTAGAATTTATGCCATTCCGGAGATTCTCATCAAAGGTAGTAATTGATGTCTGTACCTTCAGGGATTACGTGAGCACAAATTAGAGGAAAACTAGGCCAGAAGCTTTGTCTACCTATTTAGCTCAACCTAACTGTTGATTCAGATTCTGCAAACACGTTTGGAGGCTTGAAGAGCTGAAACAGCACACAACTTGAGAGGTCAAAAGAAAAGAGCAGACAGGATATACAGACAAAATATACATTTCTTTCATTATAAAGCCACTATATTTTAAACTTTATTTCACATTGATAGGTTTTAAAAGCATGGTCCTAAATATTTACAAAATTCTGAATGATTTCACAACCATTTCTGAGGACAAGATAACAGCAAGTGAAAGACTAATCTGTACAGTTTATTGCAAAGAATTCAAATACAGAGAACAAAATTTGCAGTAATCTTCACAAGGGTGTCTTACTTCCTTTGCATCCTGCAGTTTTTAAATACAGTATGTCCACAGTTGAAATATGTAACTAATTTATTCCCTTAAATATTCTTCTTTTGCAGTTTTAAAGCAAATGCCTATCTGTATCCCCTTGAAAAATCCAAACCTTGGACTTACCATTGTGGAAGCCTTGGCTTCCAAAGAGTTCCAAGTCTCCGGAAGAAATCCGAAGGGCTTAATGTGGAATCAGAGAGCAAACATTTTGTGGTGCCTTTATGTTGTGCAGTTCAAGTCTAGATGGGGCAAAAAGAGCCTGCTCAACTCAAATGTTGAAATATCTGAAGAAATCCCTGAAACTTTGCCAGCTGGCAATGAGAAAGTATTTGATTCTGTAGAACACTGACCTGAGTTAAAATGTTGAGTCCAGAACTTTGCATTCCTTGGAAGCATTATAATTACAAGAAATCTGATTTACACCCAGGGGATGTTTGTTGTGTTTCCTTGCTATTCCCATATCACTGCTTTTCCTCTTCAACCACAATATGGAACAAGAATTATAAGAGGGGTCGGGTGTCCCTGTAGGAAAAACTACAGACAGGCCAATGTATTTTGAGCTGCTTCCCAGGGGAAAGTGGGGCAATGTGTGGCTTTGGAAAGCTCTGGACTAGGATCAATAGGAATTTCTTAAGGAACTATGTGTTCTCTCTTGAGTCAGTAACTTGCCTGAAGTTTTTGCCCCAAGAAGAATTAAATTTGCTTTTTATTTCAAATCAAGAATCTCTTGTTGAACATGACCTATATTTTTCAGAGGAAATTTTTGCATGTTCAGTGATGATGGTGTTACATGAATGCATAAGTTTGTGATATGAAGTGAGCGAGAGAAGGGGCATGGTCATTTCTCAGGAACCCCTGTGTGAAGGGAAGTGGTTTGTGCTGTATCACGGCAGCAGAGAAAAACCCCCACTGCTGCTCTGCACTCACCTAGTGCAGCAGCGAATTCCATTCCTGGAAGAGGAGCAATCATTGCAGTCATCTGTCCTCCATTGGGAACCAAATTCATGCAGCTTTCCTTCCGAGTCAAGGCAGCCTGAAAACAGAGTGTGTGAGCCGCCTTCAGTGTCAGACCCTTGCACCAACAACAGTGCTGCTTGTACACAATGGGTGGGACCTTTGCTGGCTTTTTACATGGACCTCCCCATCTGCCAAAGGTGGAGGTTCCCCAGCAGAGCAGGGTGTGCTTTTGTAATGCAGGGAGAAGAGTGTCCTGTGTCCCTCTGTGGTTCTTGGCAACACTGGCTTTCCTGCAGTAGTTTATTCTGAAGTACAGGAGTCAGAGCAACCAGCAGAAAGACAGCTAGACACAGACCTGATTGGGATGAAAAAAGACTTTAACTTTCCATCTTATTAATGCCATGTCTGTGGTCTCCTCACTTAGAGCAAGACTGCATCTGCCTGGAAAACTTTTCCCTGTCCTCAGCTGCAGGAAGAGAGCACATATTGGATTAAAGTTCCTGTTCAACAGTCACAGAATAGACCCCCTAAATAACTAATCTGGAAAGCATGATTCCATGGGAACAGAACAAGAGAGAGTGGAGGCTTTGGGGCTTCTAGGTTATGTCTTTGCCTCTAAACAGTCTTTGGCAATGCTTACTCATTTCTTTCTAGTAGTAGCATCAAGTTTCCCAGGAAAAGCTCTATTTGGATCATATATATGTCAGGATTGAATTTGAGTGCTATGAAATCTTGAGAATCTGAAATTTGGACTTAACTGGGACAATAATGTGTTGTTTCTGAGGAGCTCTTGTATGGCCTGTCTGTTGTTTCCTGCAGGGGTGAATATGAAAATGGCAAAATCTTATTCTCCAGTGTCTTACCAAGCAAATGAAAGACACAAATATTTCTGATTTGGAGAGGTTCTGTTGGGATTTCTGGGCAAGTCACTGAAATACAACAAGTTTTTCTCTAGTTTCATTGCTATCAAGGGTGGAAAACAGGTACCTACCTCTCTGTGCTTCTGCCCTCCGTATTTCATTCGTCTTTGGTGGTACACAAACAATGAAAAGGATTCAAAAGAGAGGGTGAATGATAGATCATCCTGTTTCCTTGCAGATAAATCCTCCCATGAATGTCGAAAATGGAAACAATGAAATTTACTTTTGGCAATGCTGTTGAGCATTTCCCCTCTCAGTAGACAGGCTTTCCAGTTTACAGCAAGAGACAATCAAGACTTCTGACCTTCAGGGCTAAAATGTTTTTGTTTAGAGGGAAAACAAAAAGCAGTTTCAGTATTGTCAGCTGCCCTGGCAACAGAAAAACCAATACAGTTGCCCACTGAAACCAATATAGGGTATTTCTGGGTCTCAGTGAAGCCAGTCTGTTCTCTGGAGCATTAGGGCAAGTCTCTACACTTCCTTGGCCTGGTAAACCCACCAGAATTCATTTTTTTCTTCCTTTCCCAGTGTCAGCTCTTGTCTGTGCTGAGCTGTTCAGATTCGGCTTCAAGTCCATGTGGTGGAGGAGGTGCCCCTGCAGTGGAAGATGGGCTTCCCCACCCACAGATAACTTCTGGAAGGATGTGCTAATCACAGTATTCAAATATGCTGGTTCTTCCCAGTCCCATAATCTTAAAGCATATAATACCATGAGGTCCAAAGCCTATGCTAGATTTCTCATTTCACTCATTCACACTTTTATTGGTGCCGTCAGCAAATCAGGAACCTCCTCGCACCAAGAAAGTTGTCTTCACCTGTAAGAAAACTGTCACACAGGTGCTACAGAAACTCTTGGGACTCTAGGGGTAAGGAGGTTTCTGAATTATAAATGAATAAATAAAGGTCCAAATAAGGACAGAAGTAGAATGAAATTCTGTTTAATTTCCAAGTTAACTGAGCATCTGTAAATCTCTTAAAACACAAAGTCTTAACTACTAATACTAAGAGCATAACTGTGAACTTGTGAGAAAATAAACTTATTTTTGTAAGGTTTAGAAGAAAAGTGTAGCCTTTAATTCATCAGACTTTGTTAGGGAAAAACTTGGAATCCTGAAATAATTTCAATATCACGTGGCATAGTTCCAGGCTACAACAAAGTGCATGCTAATCTTGACATGTGCATTTCTCAGTGGTTCAAATTAAAAAATAATCCATCGGGAACTACCAACTAAGTTTCGTTCTTCATAAAACATTTTAGTTTTAAAACTAGGATTTTAAAAAACCATAACTATGAAAAGCAAATTTTCTCAAGAAACAGTTCCGTTGAGCTATTTAGGTAGGAAGTCTTTAGATCTCCAAGCTCAAAATATTACTTCCCCTACTAAGAAGCTGCAGCTGTTTGTTCTGTGAGAACATTCCTTCAGGTGTATCAGTTGAGGCTGTGTTCTCTGTAATTTTGACATGAAATGGCAGAAAAGAGAAAAAATCATTTGGGACAAGTGAGGATCCCTGCCCTAAGAATGCTCAGCTGTGTGTAACCTCATACTTTTACAACACAACGGACT